CAATTGTAAAGATTTTTTTATGCACGATCAAATAATAAGTCGATCTCTCTATGACAGCCATGTAGAGTTTTTAACATTACTAATAATAAGTCGATCTAGAGATTTTGATCAAATATTTTAAAACTGTAATGCACCACTTTTGATGTTTATGATAATCATAATATTTGTATGGCTGTGAAATTCTGAAACTTATAGTGTTATATTAATCACTAGTGTCTATAAATGTGCATTGCACGTCACTAATGACACATGATGGTTTAAATATTTATTTAAATGAAGGAATAACAAAATTTAATTAATGAGAGAAATTTTATATATAATACTACAACAATTTTCTAAATGCCAAAAAATATTGTTACATTAGCATAATACGTGAATTCAAAATGAAAGGATATCATCAGAACTTACATAAATGATCAATTTTAGTCATATTAAGTAGATAATTATGTATTGTAGTTTAAAGGTATCTAATGCGATGGTATCTTATCGAATACTTCTTTATAGACGGTGTCTTTTTGTATATGTTTCCTTCTAATGCTTTGGTTACTCTGCCATAACCAGAACTCTTGTGTCGATATTGATATCTCTCTTGAAAGTGCAACATATAGTTATTCGTATAGGAAAATATATTGTGGTAAATATAGTTCAATATTTAGGATGTTTGTCCTTGTGCTTTATTTATTATAACTACAAATTATAAATATACTGAAAATTATTTTCACACAAATTTAAAAGGATATTCCTTAGTTTCGGAAAACGAAAGTTGAATTCGGGGATAAACACATACTTAGAAGCATATTGACCAGTATAATAAGTTCTGCATGTATGACGTTATTGTCAAAACTTCTATATATCATATGTGTACTATTACATAAGCTATTCAACGGATCTAAGTTTTCAGTAGAATGACATACATATTTTTCTTCAAAATCACCATATATGCAATGGAATATCAATTTTAACTTAGTCTATTATATATATGGTGACACTAACATACGTAAAAAATAATGAACTTGACAACAAACATGTACGGTAGAAGGCCATTTGGTATTAAAGTATTTAAGTATTCTTCTTAGTAGTTATTTTTGGTATCATCTACCACTGAGTCAAAACTGAAAAATATTTTATTTTTACCATAAAACTTAGCAATCAACCTTTTATTAGTTGATCAACATATTCATTTTTGCTATTTAAGATAGCTCTTTAAATATCTATCATGTAATTTGCACAAATTGCATTTTTTTAATGATGAATATATATATATTTTCCTTATTAAATGCACTACTATTACCATTGGATGCTCTTATTCGTTTCCGACACGAAGCAAGAAGTCACTGAATGTTGGATCTATTCTTACTTTTATATTTCTTGTAATTTGAATATTTTTCATTTGAGATCATAAGTATAATTGTGGCAAGCTAGCTTTTACATTTTCTGTTGTGGTCAATTTTGGAACTACTAATCGTACTTGGCAGAAATCACCTCCCAAACTATTACTTTTCCTCCAAACGATTCGTCGATATCCTATATATTTCTAAAACTCTAGGTGATTGTTTCGATCGTTTGACGCTTAGCCAAAAGTGCTTCATCCCATATTATGACTTTTGCTTTCCTTATAAATTTATCACTGTTGCTCTAATTTGATATACTTGTGATGGTTATTTCAGTTATTTGAAGAGGTATATCAAATCTAAAGTGAGTTGTACGACCTCATAATAAAATCATTGCTGGTACACCACTTGTTCTTATTGCTAACAATATCATGCCTCTTGATCTGACATTTGCAAGTAATGCATGACATAGAAATATTATTTCGATTCCGCCGGAGGCATCTACAAAGGATAATCCCGCTATACTCGAGTCGATTTTTTATAATATAGTCTTGTAAGCTTATTCTTGTTCAGGATTTAGCTTTTATTGTGCTTCCTCAAATACTTGTATGGCCTTCTTAATATTATACATAATCTTTTTACTTTGTGATCTATTTTTTAAAATCTCTAACACTCTTTCTATGGAATAAATTTTCGTACCCTAAGATTATTTTTTTTTAACTTGAAAAATAATTTTACTCATATGATGAATTTAAAAAATAATTTAATTGGATTCTCTTGCTAAATAATTAATAGAAAGATTTGATTATTTGGTTTTAACATAAAATATAATTTATTTTCTGTTGATTTAGATTCTTAATATTAGTTCATCTCAGCTTTGAATATTTAACCGTGAATATAATTTTATCCACCACAAATTTTATTTTTAAAGAGTAAAAAGATCGATCATATTCCACTTTTAGATCTTTATATTTGCAAAATCATTGGTGGTATTGGCTCTTATCAACCTTTATCTTTCTTTTCTCACACATTTATATTATTAAAAAATTTCTTAGTTGTTCTTTAATATTTGGGTATATTTTTCTATATTACACAAAAAATTAATAATAAAAAATATTATTTGAGTAGAAAAGCTGTTCAAATATAGTATAATAATATATTATCGCGGAATTTTTTTCTCAATTTCAACAATTTATGCAGTTCGTTTAGTATTACTTTTTTTTTTGTTTGTTATTGAATATTATAGAGTGGTAATGTATAACCAATATGGAGGATTCTTATGAAATTAATTTTATTAAACCTTCCTACATATTTTAATAAGAATTCAATAGTGAAGATTGTATTGATTTTAAAATCTTAAATATTAAAAAAATTAACATAGAAGTTATTATAGTCCAAGAAAAAAAAAGTTATTACAGCTATGTCCTTTCCCTATGAGTTCTTCAGTTTAATATTTTAGAGCTATTTTGGTCTATCAATATTATATCCGTGCTTTTATAATCACTAGTTTCTATATACGTGTGTTGCACGTAAATTTTCAGTCAATTATTTTTATGATACAAGAGAAAAGAATTGTTGTAAAGTAAGTAACATTGATAAAATGCAACAATCTTTTAAATGTTAAATAATAATATTAGTACATTAACTTGAAGTCAAAATAATTAGATATCATGTGAACCTACAAAGACGATCGATTTAATTGAGTTGAATTGTACTTATTCTTATCGCTTTGAAACATTCAAAGAAGGTTGTATCATATCTAATATATCTTTTTAAATGAGCTTGTGGTGTATGTTCATTTGTGTTGCATTGGCTATTCTGCAATAACCAGAACTTGAGTGTAACCTATAGCTGTTTGCATGAGAAGATATATTTTGAAAAATCTTCCAATAAATTCAATATAGATAAATAGATAATCAGGAATTGATAAAAGCTCTCAATCTTCGAAGAATTTCTATTTTCAAGTTACTTCGTGCTACGTATTAAACAAACTCATCTCAATTATCAAAACCAATATTCACTTAGCATTGTCCTAGCAAAAGTAGGCCATCTAGGATCGTCAATTAACGTTTGTGGCGGCATGATTCACTAAATTCTAAATAGAAAAAAAAATCTTAGTTGATAAAAAGTCCCAATTGTTATGTTAATCCCTAATATGCACCATGATATAGGAAAATATATTATTAATCATAATTAAAAAAATATATAAAAATTATCTTTTATGTATGCAAGATATAAGATGACATAATAAATCCTCATGAACTACTTCTTCTACCTCCATTGTGCAACCATGTAGCTAATCACAAAAGATATGTAGACGGAGTTATTTCCTTTACCATAAATAATTACTAATCAAGTATATCATTAAAAAATAAATTCACTAAAAAGTAAAGCCAAAACAAACATAACTAAAAAAAATTTAGCAAGCATTAAGAAATAAAAGAGTAAAAAAAAGAAGCAAAAGCAAACCATGTTAGGGAAATTATCTTTAGTTGGCAAACAAAAAGACGTTATTGAGATGCTCCAGAAATCAAGAGAAGAAGCTGTTGATATGCTTACAGCATGCTATAAATTACTGTAAATATATGATAATAGGTATGCAATCAAATATGAAGCTTACGATGTACCTATCGGCTTTACGCGATCTGAAAACATATATGGCAATAGGCACGTTATAACCCTTTTTATATATATTGGTAAAAAAGGTAGCCTATATATGTGGAATTGGTATAACTTTAGAACTTCAATTAATGAGTAGGACACTCAATTCGTATAAGAATTCTATGCGAATTCGTATTAGAATGAGGTTTTTGGTGTGACAGTTTTATCCAAAAGCCAATTAGCTTTTTAAAATATATTTTAACTATTAGAGGGTAAAAAAGTATATCAATATTTCGAGGATATTTTTGTCATTCAATATTTAGAGTAAAATATTCGTGCTTTTATAATAATATAGATAGATATATAGGCTCTCCTATTTTTAAATGGATTTGGACAATATAATACGTTTTCAAATTAAATTAGTAATAGGAATTTTTTAAGAAGTATATCCTAAAAGTAATAGGATTACAAGGCTAATATCTATTCCCAAAAATAATTATATTAATAGGATTCATAAAGGTAATCATGTAGGATTCCTAAAATATAGTATTATATTCTAAAACTAATAGGATTACAAGGCTAATGTCTAGAATTCCGATTATGTCCTTTTATTATAACTTATTATGCTTAATATTAAAAGATTATTTTTTTAATCCAATATTTTATTCATGCTTTTATAATAATATAGATATAAATTTTATAATATTTGTGTGAATATAACAGCTTTTCACTTGGAGTAAACTAAAAAGTTCTAAGTTAAATTATTTTTAACTTTACAAAGCCGTTGAAATAACAATAATGCCACGTGAATTGGAGCGTACTAATGATAATCAAACAATCGGTAGCGAAGGTAAAATTTATTATTGACATCAGTTTATTAAGTAATACGTCAAACCAAAGTAGGAGACTTACACATTATATTCATACCATTGCCATTTTCAACTTCCATATCTAGGCATATATATATATATATATATATATATATATATATATATATATATATATATATATATATGTAGCTGCCTGTGTGGCTATATAATCTTGTACATTTTTCACAAATGAACTCTTTTATATACTCACTTCCTTGTTGAAAATCCAGCTAAACTTCACTTGACGCAGCTCCAACTTCTTTGCTCTCTCATCGGCTCTCTCTTGCAATCTTTTTATCTTAGATGGCAATCCACACACAAAATCTTGTGCACGTTTTGCCTCATCCTTAATTCCTTCAAGCTTTTCCAATGCCCATCGATCGATCAAAAACTCCAATATATCTGCATAATCATGACTTGTATACACTCCTAACCTTTGAGCCACGCAGCAGCAAAGTGGTCGAATAGATCTGGATCACACCCATCGTACATTAGGTGGGCAGGCAACGTAATCCTCTTTTTCATCATAGTAGCAATGGCTAGCATGGAGTCATTTGGGTCCAATTCCAGCAATTTCTCAACCATCTTGACGTAGGCGTTTTCATGTCGCTTTTCGTCCGCTGCTATTGTTCCACATATGCGTGCTAATATTGGGTCGGCACCCTTGGCTAGACGAGCAGTATTGCCATGTGACACGAATGTTGCTCTTTCTTGGAATGATGTGTACACAAAGCCTAAGTAGGGGTTGTTCTCTGTACTTACATCCTATAAAGTCGAGGATTTAACAACTTCACTTGATAAAGAGTTTAAGCTAGCTTCATATATAGATACTGTAAATTCTTTTTTACACGATCGATATAATTTAACCTATTTAACATGTTAGTAATTATTATTTTTCTCAGGCTAACAAATACTTAACACTTATCATAGAGATTAACGTACAATAACTTTACAAGTGATAATTGTGTAAACTGCACCGTCAGTACATAAACTTTACTCTCTTTTGAGGAGTAAATTTGCATGCAATCACTAATAAACACTCCTTCGTCAGAATATAGTTACCAAGAAAATCGAAACTTGATCTACAACGCAATATCCCCTTTTAGCTGAAGTTCATTTCCAAATTAAAGTATTTTCATTCTTTAGCAAACTTGTCCGATAAAACCCTTGAGAGGTGAAGTTGAATTAAGTTATTTGGAACGTGCTTAGTCCGACGTCGCTAGCTCCTTTATTCCTCCACCTTTGGAGAGGATCAGCGATTTCATGGGCAAAAGCACATGCCTTCTTTTCTATCCATAAGTAAACACTTGTAAGAGAAGGTCACTTTTTGCCGCGTAAATGTTACTCCCCGTTTCAAATTAGACGAGGTACTTTCATTTTTACTATGCTACAAAATAAATGACACATTTCTAAATTTGGAAATAATTCAACTTTAAACTCTTCATTTGACTCATTTTACCCTTAATGAGAAGCTCTTATAACCACACAAATGTCATGGCCCCACAAAGCTTTTACCCCTTAAGTTTTTAAGACCACAAGTTTCAAAAGTTTTTTTTTTTTTTTTTAAAATCCGTATCGAGTCAAACTAGCTCATCTAAATTGAAACGAATGGAGTAGTTATTACTCCTATGTCCGAACTTAACGAAAGATGCACGGCGCCTTGTAGACTAATTAAGTACGGAAAATGTAAATTTACCTTTTTAAATTTAATAAGTACTCCCTCACTTCCGTTATAATTTGTTTGATATAGTTCGACGGCATGAATTTTAAAAAATAAATATATTTAATGCGTATAAGACTTTTGAAACTTGTGATCTTAAATATGTCAAAATATTTATGTGGCTATAAAAACTTCTCATTAAAGAAAACACGAGAAGTTTAAAGTTCATTATTTTCAAATATAAAAATATACCGATCTTTTTAAAACAAACTACTTAAATAGTACTCAAATAGAAGGGAGCGCATTATATTTATCCACCGAAAGACTACCTAAACGGGTCTGTTAACAACTTCACTACTAGTAAAAATAGAGCAAATTGTTTTAAAAAATTTAAAAGACAGAGATTAATCTATTTGCCTCTTGGGAAGCAAACTATGCAATGAATATGTTCCAAACAAAAATGGCCAAGCCAAAAGAGGCCAAGCAAAATCTACAACTGTTACGTACGAATCATATAGAAAATCACCACCCCTTTTGTTAAAGTATATATATGTATGTATACACGAAAATGTAAGGGTATAATTTAATCAATTATAAAAGATTACTTATCGTTTTTTAGTTATCTAAACCCCTAAAGAGTTTAGCGAGATAAATGCACGGAAGTTATATATACTCTTTGTAAAACACTTACCACTCCGGATCCAATCAAATGTTGCACAGTTCTTTCGATCATCTTCATGTCAACACGACCAGAAAGGTATAAGTAATGTTCGTAGCAGATCTCCGTGCCTATTTTCCTCAGCAGACCAGCCCCTACTCCAGATAGCCCAAGGAGATGAACTGGACATAGTATCATCACGAACCCCATCAAGACTATTAATCCAAGTTTGATAAGTTGGCAAAGCTTCTTCAGTTATCATATCTCCCACAACCACTACAAGGTAATCCTCTGAAAGTTCACAAGTCCGTTTCCTCAGGGCCCGAACTTGGTCCACGAATTCATCCGACGGCTGAGATGGGTCCGGAAGGAGATCATTGGGCTGCCAGGAATTTTCAACGGGCTTGAGGAGAGGGAGAACGCTTTGGGTCACCCAAGGCTCTAATGACTTGAACACTTGTAACTTTTCAGGTGGCATTGAGTGGGTAATCATTTGGTGATTTAAGGCCACGGCTGAGGATGGAGGTAAACGGCGGACAGGGTGGTGGCGCGGCTGCGCTGGAGTGCATGCTAGGGGATGGGAGAAAGCCTTGGCTTGCATGGCTGGGGAAATGTGGATTAGCCTATTTTAATTTCAAGATTAGAAATACTGTTGTGAGAGTTTAGAGTTGGCCAATAATTTATAGTACTTGAGGGAGGTATGAATAGGATTTTGTTTTCTTGTAAGGTACAGCTACAACTACAAGTTGGGACATATACTCGGCGGGTTCAATTGAACCCATAACTTTCAACGCGGAGTTAAAATTTATATATAAAAATTCATTAAAATTGTAAAAATAGTAGATTTGAACTCATAACTTTAAAAATATAATGGGTTCAAGAATTTTAAAAATTGAACCCATAGGGTTTAAATCCTTAACGAGCCTCTAAGTCTACCAGTCCTCCCTAACCAAATGTTTGCTTTTGATAGTTTGGACGTGGGTTGTCTCGTATCTGTCATTTTGGAGGATTAGATCAATTATCCATTGTGTTAACATATAGAGTAATATTCTACCTTGTCTCCTTTCTATCTATATTTCCTTGCTTTGGCCACAGTATCTTGAAGGAAAAATATTCATTGTTTAATTTCTTTTAGATTATATTAATTTTTTACGATAAGTGATACTTGTTGATACCCAATTTTTCCCTATATATTTTCAATATGCAAAATACTTTCAAAATAGCATATGTATGCATATATAAGTGTGTCCAAATGTTTTATCATTATTCCTTATTTTTTAAAGATTTTTTAAACCAATTTATTCCCCTATTTTATTCATAAAAAACCAAATAATATTTCCAAAATTGACATTTTTGGTGATTCATTTATTGGATTCTCATATTTATACTAAAATACGGCTAAGATATTTTTGCTTATTTTTACAAATTTATTTAGTATTTGTAAAGCTAAATTGCATATAATTGCAATATAGCCTCTTTTAGGTTTAATTGCGTTTATATCTATAAAAAATCGAGTCCAGTATTTTTAATTTGATAGTTATGTACTATAAGTCATTTTAGCACCTTTAATTTATTTACAGAAGTTATTTTATTATTTTTTATAAATCAAAATAGGAAAATTGGCTATTTAAATGTTAGCTCCATTTTATTTCGATTATAGCCCAAATTGAACCCCAATTTGAATCCCAAATACCCTGACCCAATTCCCATTCAAACCGACCCACAACCCATTTAAATGACCCACCCGGACTCCCATTTAATCCCAGCTGTTGATTGTTTAGATCAACAGCTCCCATTAATCCTTTCCTAATTAAACCCAAAGACCCCCCCAAACCCTTTTCATTCTTCATAATCCGCCGCCTCTGAAACCCCTCCTCTCCCAAATTCTCTCTACAACCCCATCAAACCCTAGCCGCTGCCACCCTAATCCGCCCTAATCCATGGCCTTCCAAGGTCATCGGAGACCTGTATCATCCTCCCATGGCTTCTACGTGTTCGTTTCTGTGATCTCATGACCAGATCCGGAAGGGGTTTTGTCCAGTCTTTACTCGATGACTGTTCTTCGTTCGTCTCTGACCTTTCTCCGGCCAGCCATGGCTATTCGAGTCAGACTTTTGACTCTCCTGCTTAGATCGAGGGTTTTCAAGGCCTTTCTCATCATTTGGGGTTCTTTTGAAACCCTAATCTCTAAGGTTCTTTTGATTTCTTTCAGATCTGCTTCAGATCTATGTTTGCTTTGAACTTCTACGCATTTTTCTCGAAGTTTCTTTTAAAACTCTGCTTTCAAAACTCTTTATCTTTTCCGATTAGGGTTTTCTTGTTAAGTTATTTCGAAACTTTTCTCTGATTTTCTAGACATATTTTGCTATGTTTGCTTATATCGTTCTTCTACCTGGGTTTGCACGTTAAAAGCCCTAATTTCTTTTGACTGTTTATTAAACGAATGCTTGTTTGTTTGAGTTTTGTCTGATTCGCTTGTTTATCCTCTTTTAAAACGCTACTATTGTTGAAAACCCTATGGCTTTGGGTCTGAGACCGTTCGTTTAAGTACATGACTCGATTTGAAGTTCTTTATTTCAAAATCTCTTATTCCTTTGTGTGATTCTTCTGATTCTGGATTTCTATCTTCTCTAAAACTCGATTATGCTCGAAACCCTAAATTTTCAAAGGGGGTTTTCTTCACCTGCTACTGTGAGATCTTCGCATGCTTTGATATTTTATATTTCTTCACTACTGATTCAATGTGACCTGAGCTACATGACTATCATGCTTCGAATGTTTGCTGTCTGCTATTTAATGTTCTACTACTTCTTTTATGGCAACTATCAGCCTGCTTACAAATTGATTTCTTTCCTTATTTTGAACCTATCACTGCCCGTTAAGCAAGCGATCCCTTAATTAAAGGCAATCACTTGTATAATTGATTCTGAATTGTGATTGTTTCCTTGTTTGTAGCTTATTACTTCTCTTTTACTCGTTTTCAGAAAGCAATAAATACCCTATACTTCTTTCTTTCAAAACACGAACACAAGTCATAAAACACTTGAGTTCAGACACACACTCCACTAAATCTCTCTCTTTTCTCTGTTACTACTTGTATTACTGCCTTACCTAGCCGGTTGAAAGCCAAGGCTAGGCTGTGGAAAACTTACTTATTTTTTCTCTGCATCTGCATTTTACTGGTATGTTCTAATTAAGCTTCTGCACCAACAACAACATGCTTATTTACTGTCTCTCGCATCCTTGTTTGTCTGCTGTTTGTATTTAACCCAGTACCATTATTAAGCATGCTGTAATTTCCCCTTTTTCTGTTAATGTATCATGACTTGTGGATCCTAAACCCCTACCCCAATGTGTTTAATGTTGGTGTTTGGTTTGGGGCATGACAGCATTGAACATTGCTGTGCACGACCCAAACCTGATCCCCTGGGATCATAACCTCCATGTTTCCTCTAGATGTTGTGTATTTTGATTGGTTTACAGGCATGTCAGCACTTCCCATTGTTGTGCATGCCCAAAGCTAACCCATGCTTAAGTACATGGGCTCCTTGCAATGGATTCCCAACCCCTGACCCCTTTGTATGGAGTCATTAACTCTGTGAAATGCTAATGGCTGTCTCCCTATCACCCTTTCCCCTCTCCTTTTTTCCCTCAGTTTTTTTTAAAACTCTGTTCCTGCACTTTCACTATCTTCTTAAAACTTAAGGTCTGCCCCCTTTATGTGAGCCTTGCCTTGGGATCCATGAGCTCCCTCTGAACTTGGACATATAAGGGCTGGCATTTCCATACTGCACTCATCTCTATTCTGGTTATGTAACTTGGGTGTGAGCACTGCCGAGGGTCCTCTTGAGACTCTTAGGGAACTTTGACACACTCAAGTCTGAGAAAGGCTTTGGATCAATGACATTTGAGGTGGTTTATTCCATAACTCAGAGAGGAAGTCAAGAATCAGGCTTCCTCTGGTTGTAACCTTTCTTTGTACTTTTCTGATGTAATTCATTACTGGGTCTGTAATAAACACTGGGGTTGGCTAGTGAAAAGGGTTGGGAATTATGCATACTTGAGGGTAGAAATCATGTCTATAGGATCTGTTGTTTTAGATTATGCATGTTTAATTCTGCATTTTAGATACCACGTTATTAGGATCTAAATGGTTAAAATTAAATATCATTAAAATCAGTACCCCTTCGTAGAAATCATGCCTATAGGAACTAAAAAACTAGCCACAATAGAAATCATGTCTATAGGATCTGTTGTTTTAGATTATGCATGTGTTATTCTGCATTTTAGATACCATGTTATTAGGATCTAAATGGTTAAAATCAGAATCATTAAAATCAGTACCCCTTCGTAGAAATCATGCCTATAGGGATTCCCAAAGTAAGTAAAAAAAAATCTGGTTCGTTTCTATTCACATTCAATGTTAGATATCATGTCCATAGGGTTTAAAATCAGCAATAGTAGATACCATCGCCTGCAGAATCTGAAACTAGTCTGTTTTAAAATCAGCTTATTCTGAATCAGTTTTAAATAATCTAATTTCCTTATTTAACGAGGTCTAGCAAGCATGCCTATAGGGTCTCAAACCATTCGTTTAAAGTTGTTCTGCTTTGCCACACTTCTAAATCAGTAAGTAGATACTATGTTCCTAAAAGCTCACCCAAACACTTAGGCAAGCCTTAGGGTAATAACAATAAAATTGAATCCGCCTTTTGAAATTGCTACAACCAGCAGGCAGGCCTGATTCGGACTTCTTATCTGAGTTATGTATTAAGCTGGTCTGCTTCAACAATTGAACTCCCCTCGTCTTTAGTATTTTTAATCGGACCTTAAATGTATGTGCAAGTCATGCTATTTATGTGTTTGTTTAAGGAGGTATCCATGAGCCTTTACTTGTTTACATGTTTCCCTTAACATGCAGTATTATTTGTTTTGTATGTCGCCTTAGATTTTTACCTTTTGAAACCAAAATCAGCCTAATATCCCTCCCCTTTAGGAATAGTAGTCCTAAATTCCTCCGGGACCGATAGGAATGGGACTGGTGATAGCACGCAATAGCGATCGAGACCAATCCGCGCTTTAATACCTTAGTGGGGTGGGAAAGGTAGATATGGATATGATGACCGGTGCGCTAATACCACGTGTAGCCCCTCTTTTGAGGAGTGATTACCGGGTATTGCATTGATGTGATCCATATTTTTAATAAACCTAGGACCCCCTTTCCCTTTATTTGCAAACTTCTTTTAAAACTTTCTTTTTATTGTTCTGTCCCTTATGTGTTTAAATCCCCCCTAATATTTGAGCCCATACTCATCTATTTGCTAAAATTGCATAAATTCACAATCAACTGTCTGGCCGGGAACTACACTAGTGGATCCTGAGGGGTGCCTAACACCTTCCCCTTAGGATAATTTCAAGCCCTTACCCTATCTCTGGTTATTCAACAAACTTAGAATTGAACCCTATAGTGTCCTAATGCACCTTAAATCATTAGGTGGCGACTCTTCAAATGCAAAACCCAGTTCCCAAAAGGAACCGAGTTGTCCCATACCAAATGTNTTGTTAGCCAACATTGTACCAGTACAAAAGAAGGACGGGAAGGTAAGAGTCT